AAGCTCTACGGTATGTCAGACAGTAAAGATCACTCCACTGCACTTTGGAGGCTGTTGCCTAAACATTATCTGCATGCAGGTTGGCAAGGAGCAATGTGCAAGTGAACTGAGACTCATATACACTGTACTGACAGCATCAGACTAATTGCTTGCCAGATTTTGGAGAGCCCGAACGCGCTATGGTGTGTAATTGCGCCCAGGTGCGCATGTTTCCGTTGATGGTTGAAGTGTGCACATTTTCTCCAAAGCACCATCTCAAGATGCAACACACAGCTGCTGGTGGCATACCATCAATCCTTCCCTGTTTCTTTGTCGAGGAGCTAAATCACTTCCCGTGCTGTGCAGGCAAACTGCCTGCAAGATCACACGCTGACAGCATACCGTACATGAAATCTAGAAAATTCCTCCTAAAGTGTCAGCTGCTTTATGACCCATGTGCAACTCAAGAGCACATCACATTCTTTCCACACTCAAGCTCAACAGCTTACATGAGTGACGGCGACAATAAGTCGAAGCTATCCAACGGGTCAATGAGAAGCTCCAAGCGGGCACTCATGAACTCAGCAGGGCGGAGGCGTGGGGGGGTGCGGAACAGACTAAACACTGGATTGGGTGTTGATGATGTCTGTGCGCTATCAACTGTTGATGGATTGAACATGTTCCCTGCAGGCGTCGAGAAGTTGAATGTCTCCTCGTCTCGTTTTAACCCATTTAGGCCCAGACCACCAGTGGCAGCATTGTCATCAAAACCAGCTGCACGTCCAGCAGTATCATCTAGCCTGTTGCTGCTCACTAGCCCTTGCGTCCCAGAACCAGAATTGTCATTCTGATCACCACCACTGGCACGAACGCCATGGTTACCACCAACCAACCCATCTGTGAGGTCAACTCTCGCACCAGCGGCAGCAGCAGCAGCACCAAATAGACTGTGCCTTGGGTCACCATTTGCCCGCGCCATGTCGACTTGCATCTGCATCATCTGCGCTTCCATGTCTTTGCTCAGCTCCATCCGCATTCTCTCCGTTTCCAGCAGCCGCTCCAGCTTGGCGCGCTCCACTTGCTCGTACACTGCAGCGAGTTGCCTAACTGCCAACGCCATGCCCTTTAACGAGGATGAGACTCCTGCAGAGGGCCTTTTCTTCATCGATGCAGGAACAGCTCCGAGCACCCGGGTAGGCCTCGGTCCTGTTTGCCCTGCCTTTTTTGCTTGTTCTCGCACTGGTGGCTGCTGCGATGGCTGCTGCTGCTGCTGCTGCTGCAGCTCCTGTTGATGATTATAATGAGAGTGCAGTCGTTGTTGTTGCTGCTCGTGGTGCTGCTTATCTTGCTGATGATGATGTTGCTGCTGCTGCTGGTGCTGTTGTAATATCCCACGCGGTTGCTCTTGGTGTGGCAATTGATGACGCTCCTGTTGTTGTTGGTGTTGTTGTCGCTGCTTCTGCTGCTGCTGCTGCTGCTGCTGTTGTTGTTGGTGTTGCTGCTGCTGTTGCTGTTGCTGCTGCATGTCTACAGACGGCATTGGCCTCATCTTCGCAACAACCTCACCAACAATCTCCACCTCTGCTGCCAGCAACCAAAGCGGCCGACCAGAAGGACGGACGGGGCGGAGTGAGCAAAGCGCGGGCCGCCCCTTAGCGAGGAGCTAAGAGACGAAAAATGAAGGTACGCAGAAACGGAGGGGGGGAGCGGGCTAGTACCGACGGTGACACTGAGAGGAGTTCCCTCTCATTAACACTCCGGATGTCCGTAGCCTTAAATGGAACGAACAAGAAGAAATTTTTAGTGTTGCACTCTGACAGCCCGAGGGGCTAGGGCGAGATGAGTCGCAATTGAACAACTGCAGCGATTTTTTATGCGCCTAGAAAATTCGGCTAAGGCTTGATGGCCACGATTGAACAGCCGCGGCGTGGGAGCCGGTGCGCAGCAATTGAACATAAGCTCCTCAAAAGGCTGTGACGGTTGCTGCTTGCTCTCTCTGCGAAACACACTACCCTATCCAATACGCCGCCGCATCATTCAAAGTAGGCTACAAAAAACTGCAGGGTCGCGGCTTTGACGATTCGAACTGTGGTATGGATCAGGTAGGACGACCAGACAAGATAGGATAGAAAATGGAGTGCTGGGAGGATCGTGATGGTTGATTGAGAGGGCTTCGGGGAATTCGAATTCCTTCACGATCCTCCCCAAAAATGGAAACATTTGAGCAGTGAGCTGAAACAAGGCCTTGTCGTGATGTTGCGTGGTGGTGCCTCAATGGGAGACATGGTCAAGTCCACCATAAGCAATTTGGTATTACATTAGGCATAATGTGGTTTAACAAAAGGTATACACGCATATATGTAATTAGTTAAGCAAATCAAATAGCAGAAAACACAGAAAACGACTCATGGTTCCCCCGCACCCTCCCAGTTACGTTTATTGACACCCCTTTCACAAGCAGCTTCGCTGCACGTGGTCTCTGCACTGCAACATTCTTCCCTCACAACCTGTCAGCTGCCTCCACCATTCAAGCCATGCTTGCGTGGGTTCTTGTGGCTGCTCCAAACGGCCCATTCCTCTTTTCCCCCACCCGTCAACTCATTTTGCTTCTCTGAAAGCCTCCTGCAGAAATCCAGTTGTTGCAGCATTTTCGAGCCGCTCGTGCAGAAGTCCGACTGCTGCAGTGCCGTTGCCGCTGTTTCCATTTTTTTCCGCTATCGAATTCCTGTGCTTGAACACCACCGCTTCATCACCATATTGCCGGGAACTCAAGCCTGTACACGGCTTCAAAGGTCAGGTCGGGTCGGTTTCTGCTTCTGCTTTCCTCCACTGTTGAGTTCCTGCACTTCCACACCACCGCTTCATCACCAGATTGCTGGGAACTCAAGCCTGTACTCGGCTTCAAAGATCAGGTCAGGTTGGTTTCTGCTTCTGCTTTCCTCCACTGTTGAGTTCCTGCACTCCCACACCATCATATCATCGCCACATCTCCGGTCACTCAAGCCTGTACACGGCTTTAAAGATCAGGTCAGGTTAGTCGTGTGAACCCTCTTTCCGGCTCTGCCCTCTGCATTGACGCAGAGACGCCTCAGCCTCGGATGAAGTCCACTTCACTGTTTCCCCGTCCACCTCCACTTCAACCACTGCATTTTTCCATCCACTTCCACCACTGTGCGATGAGCTCTTTGTTTGAGCTTTGCGACAAGGATTCTTGAGGCGCCAAACATAACACTCCAGCCATCACACTCTTGATGAAGTCCTGATCATCACCAACTGCTTCTGCACCCCCATATTGTGGCTCTGTGATGCCTCAAAACTCCTGCGCACCCAGAATAAACGTCCTTGTCCCTCTTCACTCCATCCCTGCCTTTCCTGCTGCTGCCTGGTAGATGTGCTGTTACCTGGTAACCGAGCTCTTACTTGGTATCACGCAACTACCAGTAGGGCCAACAGCAAACCACGTTCAAATATGGGATCACCTGGAGTGAGCCACCGTTGACAGGTTGCTGGTAACCATATTGCTCTCTGTACGGTCATTGTGAACCCATGAGCTCTATAGGCGACTCTCCTCGAACTGCCGATGTCAGATACATGCTGATATGATACAGCTCTCCCGGATCTCCCACAACTCCTCTGGCGTCTGTGCAGATATGATATGATACAGCTCACTGTTTGAAGTGCCTGAGAGCTGTCCTTTGAGAACAGCGCCAAAGGAATCTACCTGTAGGGCCACTGTGAGCCGATAAGCTCTATGGGCTCCTACCCTCGGAACGCCAGTGTTGAATACAATGCTGATATGATGCAGCTCTCCCTTTGAAGCTCCCGAAAGCCATCCCTTGAGGCGCCAACGTATCTACCTGTAGGGCCATTGTGAGCCAATAAGCTCTATGGGCTCCTCCCCTCGGAACGCAGATGTGGAATACCACGCTGAGATGATGCAGCTCTCCCTGATCTCCCGTGCCTCCTCTGGCGTCTGTGCAGGGACGCGAGGATAGGAGTGACGGAGGTGCAGGGGAAGCATAGCAAGGTGAGAGAATGAATGAGAAAGGTTAGTTTCTTTGCTTGAGAGAAGCACCACGCTGGTGTAATGCAGCTTTCCGCGTGTAGTGAGTCGATTTTTGAGTCGACTCAAAAATCGAGTAATGCAGCTTTCCCTGCCCCCCTGTGCCCCCTCCAACGTCTACATACGAAGATGAGTGGTGAGAACAGGTGAAATCAGAGTGACAAGGGGTGACGACAAGAGGTGGTAAGGGATGAAAAAGTTGATGGGGCACAGGGAAGGAAACACGTTGATGCACTCCCATTGATCTACGGCGACTCCAAACCCTGCAGTGGAAGCATTGACAAAAGATGCTGCAGGGAATCCGGGGTGGGCATGGTCCATCCCCAAGGCATATTGGCCTTTACTGACTCGGACTGGATTTTTGTTGCCTCACATTGCCGACAGCTGCCCTTGCATTGGCTCACTTCACACCGTTGCTGCAGGGAGGCTGGGCTGGGCATGGTCCATCTCCACAGGCATATTGACTAGCTCTTTTACCATTATTGACTGCATTGAATTTTGTTGACTCGCATTGACTCACCTCACACCGCTGCTGCAGGGAGGCTGGGCTGGGCATGGTCCATCCCCACAGGCGCTCCCCAATCTTGAGAGCCCGCTGCAGTTGCTCCGGGGTCATACCCACTGGTGAAGGTGTGGGTGGGTGTGGGTGGGAGGAACATGGGCCAGATAGATTTGAAGGTATATATTCGAGATACTTAGTGCAACGATCAATATCGCCTTCCCATCCCCACAGGCGCTCTCGCTCTTGAGTGCCCGCTGCAGTTGCTTGGGGGTCATACCTACCCCCAGGTGTGGGCGTGGATGGGAGGAACAAGGGGCAAAAAAGTTACGTGTTTCGGATACTGTTCCCATCCTTCCACCCATCCTTGCAGGATACTGGATACTGGATACTGGATACTGGATACTGGATACTGCAGCGACAGATACCACCTTCCCATCCTTCCACCCTCATTCCCCACTATTCCCATACACCAGCAGCACAAGCAGTCTCACCTGTGCCATGTGCCAGGGTGAGCACTTGAGCCACGAATCTCGGCGCGTCTCTTCTCCTGGGCCACCGCCAGTAAATAGTGCACGCCACGCGCGCAGCAATGGCCAGTAGCACGTCGACACGTGTCCCATCAGACAGCCGCGCCGCGCCAGAACAACCAGCAGTAGCAGATCTCTCCCATCGAGCAGCGGAATTCTCAAATCTTGCAGCGGAGTCCCATTGTGCGGCACAGTCAATGACCTTCAGGAGGGATGCAGCAGCTTCAGGGCCCGCTGGGAGGGTGACGAGAAGGGACTCGAGCGACCAGTCAAAGAGCTCGAGAGCGTCCACGTCTGTGCCCGTTCCCTCCTCGTTCACAGCCTGGGAAAATGGAAACGGGGAGCAGAGAGAATCGGGGAGGGCGGAAGGGGTGGGGGAGATGAGGGGCCGCTTTGAGCGTCGCCCGCACACACACGACAGGCAGCTCAGGGTGAGAGGGGTTGCAGTGCTCCGGCACTCACCACCACAACAGGTAACACAGCACATTCTACAGACAGCACTCACCAGGTGGGTGTTGAGAACCCCCGCACCCACACGGCGGGCAGCACGGGGCGCGTCAGGTTCCTGCGCTCCAGCATGCGTCCAATGGCCTTCCACGCCAGCGACCCCATGCCCGCCGGCGCCTTGTCCAGATGCACCAGCAGCGCCGCCATCGCCGCATCCCTCTCCTCCCTCTCCCTCCTCCCCTCCCTCTCCTCTCTCTCCTACCTCTCCTTCCGCACTCTCCACAGCACATACAGACAGTACTCACCAGGTGGGTGTTGAGAACCGCCCGCACCCACACAGCAGGCAGCACAGGGTGGGTAGGATTTCTCCGCTCCAGCATGCGTCCGATCGCCTTCCATGCCAGCCACCCCATGCCCCCCGGCGCCTTGTCCAGATGCACCAGCAGCGCCGCCATCGCAGCATTCAATTACTCACTCACTCACCCATTCACTCACTCCCTCCCTCACTTACTCACTCACTCACCAGATACTACCTGGAGCAGCAGATATGGTTCTCACCAGGTGAGTATTGAGAACCGCCCGCACCCACACAGCAGGCAGCACGGGGTGGGTGGGGTTCCTCCGCTCCAGCATGCGACCAATGGCCTTCCATGCCAGCCACCCCATGCCCCCCGGCACCTTGTCTCTCCAAATGCACTGTGGCACCCACACACACCACTCACTCACTCACTCACTCACCAGGTGAGTATTGAGAACCGCCCGAACCCAGACAGCAGGCAACACAGGGTGCGTGGGGTTCCGCCGCTCCAGCATGCGACCAATGGCCTTCCATGCCAGCGACCCCGTGCCCCCCGGCGCCTTGTCCAGATGCACCAGCAGTGCCGCCATCGCCGCATCCCGCTCCTCCCTCTCCCTCCTCTCCTGCGTCTCCTGCTGTGCGTCTGTGCTGCTGCTTTCCTCCCCTCCCCTCCCTCCCAATAAGGCCTCCATTGAATTTCCTGGCAAAGCAACAGCCAGATCGGTAGCAGCAGCACCACCACCATCAGCAGCTTCAACCGTAGCAGCCGAACCAGTCAAACCATCCCCTTCTGACAACCCAGCAGCATCAGGCGACCCAGGCGAAGCCGCCGCAGCAGCCGCCACCTTCGCCTCTTCCCTCTCCCGCGCCACCTCCGCCACGAGGCACCTCAGAATGATACACGCGCACACGTCTGTGTGCCGCTCGTGCTGCTGCCGCACGCCCTCTGAGTCCAGCGACAGGTGCCGGCTCAGACGCAGGTACGCCTCTGCTAGATCGCGCACCCACGGAATGATGGGCGCTGCTTCGGTGTCCGGGATCACCGGGATGAAGTTGGGGAGACGGGCGGATGGTTTGGGGGGCTGTTTTTTAGGCGCCTCAAGAACAGACGCCTCTGCTAGATCGCGCACCCACGGAATGATGGGCGCTGCTTCGGTGTCGGGGATCACGGGGATGAAGCTGGGGAGACAGGCGGATGGCTTGGGGGGCATAGAGGTGGCTGGAGGTGTTGTTGGGGGATCCGGGTTGGTGGTGATGGGCGTGTGGCTGGTGGTGATGGGCGTGTGGCTGGTGGTGATGGGCGTGTGGCTGGTGGTGATGGAATGGCATGAGTGTGAGCTCTGCTCTGCATCAACCACAGCAACTGCTGCTGCTGCTGGTGAACCGGCAGTGAGGCCATTAGGAAGAGACGCAGAGGCAGGTAGGGCGGCAGGGCAGGAAAGAGGCGGGGGCGAAAACACCTCCGTCCTGACCCTCTCCCCGTTCCCCACCCTCCCTCCACTCAAACTCCTAGGCGGAGGCCTGGAAGCAGGCTCGGGCCAAGCCTCCGGAATAGCCTCGGGAAGCACCTGTAGCAACTCTTCCATTAGAGCATCACAGAACCTCCTCACATACGCCGATCGCGACGCCTCAGTCGGCGCATGGGTTAATGCCGTTTCCGCCACCCCCACCACTCTCTGAATCCTCCTCCTCACCGGCTCAACCCCTCTCGGCCGGACCGTCCTCCTTATAACCTCCTTACAGTCCGCTTCAGTAGCATACACGCTGCCGAGCACCCTCACGCGTGCCCGATACCCCGCCTCTTCACACCCCATCTCCTCTAGAAACTCAGCCACTTCCGCCACGTCATCAGGCCAGAGACTAGGCAGTGACTGCATGGCGAGAGCGACAGCTAGGGCGAGAATACCCGGGCCCAGATGCAGCCCCCCCTGGACGGTACCGTGGGTCAGATACAGCCTGTCCAGATGAGCGCATTCTATGGGGTTCATCCCGTTGGTTGCCACTGTGGATTCCACAAGCAGTACCTCTGCTAGCTCTCCCAGCCGGTACGGAGCTCCTGCCTCAGATACCACCTGCTCAGATACAACCTGCTCAGGTACCACCTGATTGGATACCACCAGCTCAGAAGCGCCCTTTGCTGTCGGCGGCGCAGGCGTGACAGGAGTGACAGGGAGGTTGAAGCAGGGCTGCTGAGGGCGGCAGGCGTGGTGAGAGTGCAGCTGAAGAAGATCCAGCAGGCACGAGACTATGAAGTGTCTACATGCCTTATCCACCGCGTACCTCTCCATCTCTTCCTCCACGTTCACCAGCTCCTTCCTCCCCCCTGCGCCGAACCTGTCGTCCCCGAGCCTGTCGTCGCCAAACCTGTTTCTGTTCCTGACGCTGTTGCTGCGGTCGGTGGCAGGCGTTTCTGGTTCGGCCCATGCCTCTTTCCCGGACTGCTCCCCTGCCTCTTCCAGTCCTGCACCCTCTCCCCCTTTCTCTTGGTCACGGTCATTGCTTTCAGCTTGGTGATTGGACTCGTTATAGACACATCCCTCCCCCACCTTCTCTGAACGCAACACACACTCGCCTTCCTGCCCCACCCCACCTCCCTCCCTAAACTCCCCATCTTTTCCTCCCTCCTCCGCTCTTCCTTCTCCTTCCGCTCCCTCCGCCTCCTCTTCTCCTTCGCCTTCCTCCTCCTCGCCCTCCTCACAATCCTCTCTCTCCAAGTCACTCACATCGCTCCCTTCCTCCACGCGCATAAAAGGCCGAGTCTGGCCGACCATATCTAACACACGCAGAATACACAGCGCCATGCTGACAGGCTGGCGATCCGCCAACGACCCCGCAAGCCCCAGCATCCTCGCCACGTCAGCATAGCTAGGCGGCACATCCGTTTCAGTCCCATCCAGTAAAAGCACATCTTGAACCAATTTCTGCTGCAGACCGTTTCTAGTGGTGGATCTCCACCTCCTCCTCCCATGCCCCACAGCACTCGCGTTGCTCCGCACGCTCCTGCCCGAAATCGACCCGTCCTCGCTCGGGCGGGACGAGAGCGTCAAGCTGCCCGAAAAACTCCGGAGCATGCTGCCTGCGACGCTGGTCACGTCAACAGTGGGCAGGAGACTAACCGCACTCAAGCTGCTCGTGCTGCTGCTGTCAACAGTTGAAGCGGCTGACCGCGAGCGGTTGCGCGGGGGCCGGAGCGAGGAGGATGGAGACGGCATGGTGCTGAAGCTGCTGCTGCTGCCCATGCCAGTCAGAGGAGACGTGACACTCAGGCCAGTCGTGCTGCTGAATGCAGGTGTGGATGCTGGTGCTGGTGCTGGAGCAGCAGTGAGGAAATTGTCAGCAGCACCAAAGCCTACAGGGAACCAGCTTGAAGACACACTGGTTGGTGCCTCAGCACCCCGGTTCCTGCCAGTACCAGCAACACCAGCGGCAGCAGCAGCAGCAGCAGTAGCAGCGGTCTCCCCTGCACCGCCCTCCCCTCCTTGCGCAGCTGAAGCAGCTTCCTTGCCGCTTCTTCTCCTGCCTTCTTTCAAGCTGCGAGAAGGCAGAGACGACCGTCGCTGCGGCTGAACTGAAACGCTCGTGGTGGCATTGGTGGTGCCAGCAGCAGCAGCAGTAGCAGCGCCACCACCACCAGCAGCAGCGCCACCGGCAGCAGCAGCACCACCAACAGCAGCAGGAGTAGTAGCAGAAGAACCACCTCCGGAACCAGAAGAAACAGCAGCAGAAACACCTGACGCGGCAGAAACACCTGAAACAGCAGAGACACCCGATGCTCGTCGTTTATGGCTCAGAAACCCCCGGGCTTGCACGGCCTCCTCTCTCTCCTCCCACGCCCGCCCTGCCGCCTGACATAGATCCTGCCACTGCTCATACTCCCTCTCCCTCAGACTCGCCCTGAACCACCCCCCAGCCGCGGCCGGGGGAGTTGCTGAGGAGAAGGGAACTGGGGAGGGAGGGACTGGGGACGGTGGGACTGGGGAAGGGGGAACTGGGGAAGGTTGGACTGCGGCTGTCACAGGGATGGATGGTGGAGGAAGGGATGGGGACGCTGGACCTTCTGCTGCTGCTGGCATCGCACCTGAAGGATCCACGCCATCAGCAGCCTCAGGTGCCTCAGGTGCTTCAGGTGTCTCAGGTGCTTCAGGAGCCTCAGGTGCTTCAGGTGCTTCAACAATGTGGTCGGCCACAATAACGCTCCCACCCTCCTGCTCCGCTTTCTCCTCTTCAGCCTCTCCCCTCTCCTCTGCCGTCCTCCCATCCATCCCTCCAAATCCCCCGTCTTTTTCCTTCTCTCCCCTTTCCTCCCTCCCCTGGCCCCTCGTCTCCCTCTCCTTCTCACCCCTCTCCTTCTTCCCCTTCTCCTTCCCCTCTCCGCATTCCCCTTCACCTTCCCCTACCGCCAATACAATGCTCACTTGCTTCCGCTCCTTAGGGGGACCGCCTCCCGCGTGCGCGGACCTAGTCAGCGCCATCACAGGCATTGGCGCAGCGCCTGCCCCCGCGCCCGCGCCCCATTTCCCCCGAACCGGCGCAGCCTCTCCGCCGCGCCACAGCATCGTGCGCGGAGATTCCAGGGATCTCCGCCGCGCCTTGGGCGCTTCTAGCGATGCGCTCGGGTCTTCCCCCCACTGCTCCCAGAACTCCATCCAAAACGCCATTTCCACCAGCAGCGCCTCTTCCATTCGCCCGTCCGCAGTTGCGGCATTGCCAAAAGCGCCGCCAGCATACTCCCCCCTGCTATACATCCCTTCTCCGCCAGGACTGCGCACGCTGCCCCAATAGGCTCCGCGGGCTCCGCCTCCCCCTCCGCCTCCGCCTCCGCTCCCGCTTCTCTCCCCAAGCTCCGCGCCATCCCCCCCGCCGAGTTCCGCGCCGAGATCCGCCGCCTCCTCTATCCGCTCCACCAGGCGCTGATACTCCGCCTCCGCGCGCGCCTGCACGTCCAGAAGCCCCGCGCGGATGACGTCATCCGCCCCGCCCAGGGGGAGCAGCAGCGAGCGCGAGCGTGGGGTCAGCGGCTGCGGCTGCACGAGGGGGAAGTACGGCGGGGGCAGCGCGCGCGTGCGCGGGGATGGGGAGGAGACGAAGGAGGAAGAGGCGGAAGACGCGGAGGAGGAAGAGGAGGAGGCGGATGAAACAGGCGCGGAAGCCTGCGCCAAGCGGGGGGAATAGGCGGAAAACTCGGAGGACGGGGAGAGAGACGGGGAGGAAAGGCGGTCGAGGAAGATAGAAAGAAGCCCCGGGAGCGCGTCTCCCGGCGGAAGTTGCGCCATGATTTGGCGCGCGCGGATAAGGCCGCCATTGGCGGGCGTGTAGGGGCCGAAGTGGTGGGGGTTGTTGGAGAAAAGATCGGAAGGAGAGAGGCAGATAGGCCAAAGCTGCGGCTGCGGTTGCGGCTCCTCGTGTATTGGCTGCGCGGACAGCGCTTGGCCCATGATGACCGCAATGCGCTCTAACGAGGAGGGTTACAACGGGTACGGATGTAAAAACGGGTGTGAGGCGTTTCGGCGTTTCAGCCTGGATTTATTCTTCTAGTGGAAATAGGGGCTATTTTTTGCGAATGGATTAGAGAGCGAGAGCTTGCTATTAGTCACGTGGAAGACGGGATTGGCGATACGGAAGGCGAGGCGTCGACAGTCCGCTGTAAACAGTCATTCGCTTGGCGATGGAAAGAGTCGCCGCGCGTATTATGTCGCATTGTGGCTCGCCGAGTGCTCAAGAGAGGACATTTCAGCGGGCTTATAGCAAGCCGCGCTGCAGCAGTCGAGAGTTTATCCAATGAGAGGGGGCAGCTGCATGGTAGGAAATGACGGAAGAAAGGGTGAGAAAACCTAAAGCTGAGGACGAAGGGGGAGTGGGGTGAGGGGAACGGATGGGTTGGGGCAAGTACGAATAATTGCCTAGAGGACAATGAGGATTGATTGGTTGAACTGGTGTGCTTGCTCGCTGCCTGCGCGCAAGATTGGCTGTCGGTACAGCTGCTAAAATGCTCCAATTCAGTGGTGGAGTGGAGTGCTTCTAGTGGTGGCTTTTCTTGTTGGGTGTGATGAATTGTACTGCACCGCTTTTCAACGCACTGCACTGCAATGCCCCGCACTCTTGTCTGCTCTGCTCTGCACTTGCTCTGTCCTTCGAAGCAAGCTTTCTCGGCGAGAGTCGAATCGTGTGGGACGTACGGGACATTGGGTTCGAGGGTTGCTTGCAGTGGCTAGCGCAGCAACAGACGGACGGGATGAGCCGATGAGTTGGTTGGGAAAAGTGTATGGCGACAAGAGAGTTACTGTTTCAAAAAGCTTTTACTGCGAAAACCAAGGTCGTATTTTAGACGGGGAGCTTTTCTAGAGATTCTAGAGCAAGAAATACCCGCACCAGCTCAGATTGGTTCGCATATATTGTTTCATCCAGACCTTGATTCCAAGAAATGCTCCACGATTAGGGTGGTACATTGCAGGGTTACAGGCATGTTTTGCATGCCAATGATGCGGCCCTTTCGTGATGCTCTCTTCTTGGCTGTTCGGGCAGGGCCGTCTGCCCTGATCTGATTGGGTCCTTCATCTATGGGGGTCGATCGAGAACGAGATGGCGTATCATGTAGGATTGTCCCTCAGCACACCCAGATAATCCAAAGATTACACCATGTACAGAACAAGCCATAATCGGAATGCTCTGTATAGTAAAACCATTCGTTTTCCAATGCTGGAAAATTCTCACTAAAGTGTGTCTTGCAGACTTTCTAGCACGCTGCAGCGTTTCTCTGTATGAAGTATGGGGGATGAGGGCAGGCGGAAGCATGTTGGTCACCCAACAGAAAAGCAAAAGCGCTGTTTCTACAGTGAAACCACGTCAACATTCCCACGTCAGCAATTATGAGGCATCTTGAACATGAGTGCGACAGTTAGTCACGTCACGTGTACAGCTCTGGTCAACAGTAATGGAGCCTGTCCCCGTTCCTTCTGTCAAGACTTCAACAGCACACTCTAGTGCTGACCTCACATAGAGGTGGGTGAACTAGACGGGAACCTAAACACATGGAGGAAATAATACCAGGAGATATTACTATCATTATTACTATTAGTATTCTCATTTTTATTATTAATGATAATTATATTATAATAATTAATAATGTCTCTTAGCCAAGAGAAAACTCGGTAACAGGTCGGTCGCCGAGAATATATGCTATATACAGAATTCTACACTTTTCAATGTAGTGGCGAGTACTCTCTAAATAGTTCAGCAATGACGGGTACGGGTATACAACAGCTCGTGCATCGCACCTACACGAATCCCCGTAACCCGTCCATCACGAAAACCCCAGCCACACTAGCGACGGAATTCGGACCGCACGATCACTTCCGCTCTCGTGAATCTTGACGGCGGGCGACGTGTAGGTTCACTCACACAGCGCAGCATCCCCACAGACGTGCCACGTCACCTTGAGGAACCATCCCCGAAGTAGTTAACGGTCAGTCCACAGGGATTGGCTCAGTCATAATTTTCCTACGGTTATTACTACTGTGATCCTTCGCTACGTAGTGGTCCTAACATTTGGTCCCTAGCACTTGGTCCCTAACGCTTGGTCTCTAACACTTGGTGATACCAGGTGACCCAGCTAGTTGTTTGTGAGCTCGACTGCTTTGCCGCAGGAGTCGCCTGAAAGTCGTTCGCTTGGTATGACACAGTAATTTGTCGAACGGTTATCCGTTTGTGACTTAGACTCGTACTGGTGTTCAATTGATTTACTTTTATTTATTCGAACGGATAGACAATGAGCCGACGACAAGTCCGTGTAATTTAAAGCGAGGATGGCGTCGATCCAAGGGTTGTCAACTATCCTCGCGACGTTTCGTCGTCAATCTGTAGCCGTACGATCTAGAGAAAGTAGAGACATCTGACGGACAGGCATGGCGAAGGTGTACCAGGCCTGGAAAGGCGACAACGTGAGTCGCATTTCATTATATGCTGATAGTGAGGATCCTTATAACGCGCACTTCGTGTTTTCTGTCGCACTCGGTGTTTTCTCGTCGCATCGCAGTCCGTCGCATTCCATCGCATTTCAGCGCGATAAAGATGTTGCTGAATCGCCTCAATAGTCACCTTCTTCCTCGTCCTTCCACTCGTCGTCTATCGTCAACTTCCCGCCTTCCCTCAAGAGCCCAACTCCCCGCTTCACCGAGCAGTGAGGTGTATTTTGAGGCGCCTCAAAATACGTCTCTCCACTCGTCGTCTATCGTCAACTTCCCGCCTTCCCTCAAAAGCCCAACTCCCCGCTTCACCTCCGCAACTTCACCTCCCCCCACCTTCCCCAACCGCTCTCTCCCTCCCCCCCCATCTCCCCCCTCCCTCTTCTCCACTCCCCTCCATCCTCCCCCATTTCCCCCCTCCCTCTTCTCCACTTCCCCCCCCTTCCCCCCCCTTCCCCAGGTGTTTCTGTGCTACGGTCGGTTCATATTCGGTCCCGATTTCCGTTCGCTGGTGATCTCGTTCCTGCTCATCCTTATACCGGGGATACTCTTCTGCGTCTTCGTGGCCGCGCAGCTTCCTGGGAAGATTCCCGGAGGCATCGTCGTGCTTCCCGTCGCGATTTGCTACTTAGCATGGGTGCGTGGAGGGATGGGTGGGTGGGTGGATTGAGTCGCATGGGGAGGGAGTCGCATGGGTGGGTGGGTCGCATGGGGGAGTCGCATGGGTGGGTGGGTCGCATGGGGGAGTCGCATGGGTGGGTTAAGTTTCATGGGGGAGTCGTTTAAGGGAGTCGCATGGGTGAGGGAGTCGCATGGGGAGCCATATGAGTGGGTGGCGCTGCAGGGGGGATGCGTGGAGAGGTTAGTTGGCGTGGATGGTTCAGCCTGCCCAAGTCCACTCCTCCTCTGCATCCCTCTGCACCCCTCTGCAACCCTCTGCAACCTTGCCCCCCCCCCACACCATACAGAACCTGGGACCCGGGCATCGTCCCTCGCAACCTCAATCCGCCTCACCCCGATCCGGACATGCACCCCTCTGCACCCCTCTGCACCCCTTCCCTCCCCCTTTCTCCCCCCTCCCCTTCAGAACCTGTTTATCCTGGTGTTCACAGCATGCAGGGACCCGGACATCGTGCCTCGCAACCTCGTCCCACCTGACCCTCCGTCCACTTCCTCCCTGCCTTTCCTCTCCGCACCCTCCCTCCAGAACCTCTTTATTCTGGTCTTCACAGCGTGCACAGACCCGGGCATTGTCCCTCGCAACCTCGTCCCGCCTGGACATGCGCACCTCTGCACACCTCCCTTCCTTCCACCCCCCGCCCCCCCATCCCCCCCCATCCTCTCCAGAACCTCTTCATTCTGGTATTTACAGCGTGCAGAGATCCAGGCATCGTGCCTCGCAACCTCGTCCCGCCTGACCCTGATCCGGACATGCTAGAAGCCATGCGCGTGGAGGGAGGGGGGCTTGCGAGGGGGGGAAGGTTCAGCCCGCCCAGAACCAAGGACATGGAGATCAATGGGTTCCGTGTGAAGGTTAAATACTGCGACACGTGCCTGCTGTACAGGTGGGTGTGTGTTTGCATTGCAATTCAGGTGCGTGCATGGGATGGGTGCGTGCATGGGATGGGTGCGTGCATGGGATGGGTGCGTGCATGGGATGGGTGCGTGGGGCCACAGACTGGTCTAGCCTGGTTCCTTTAGACTCGAACACGCTGGAGTCCATGCGCCTGGAGGGAGGGGGGCTTGCCATGGGGGTCGATTCAGCCTGCCCAGAACTAAAGACGTGGAGATTAATGGCTTCCGTGTGAAGGTTAAATACTGCGACGTGCTTGCTGTACAGGTGGGTGTGTGTGGGGGGGGGGACAGAAAGGGTGGTGTGTGCTAGAACCCCCCCCCCGCTGCTCGCACTAGACAGGAATGCTTCTAGACAGGAATGCTTCTAGACAGGAACGCTTCTAGACAGGAATGCTTCTAGACAGGAATGCTTCTAGACAGGAATGCTTCTAGACAGGAATGCTTCTAGACAGGAATTCTTCTAGACAGGAATGCTTCTAGATTTGTGATGCCCTGTCTGCTTCACCACCCCCCCTCTTTTTTCCATCCCCGCCTCCTTTCCTCTCCCTGCAGACCCCCCCGCTGCTCGCACTGCAGCGTGTGCAACAACTGTGTGGAACGGTTCTAAAGTCATAAGCTCCAGTCTGCTTCTCCCCCCTCCTCCCCCTCCCCGCTCCCTCCCTGCGTCCCCCCATGTCTCAGACCCCCCCGCTGCTCGCACTGCAGCGTGTGCAATAACTGTGTGGAGCGGTTTGATCACCATTGCCCGTGGGTGGGGCAGTGTATTGGCAAGGTGAGAAAGAGAATGGAGCAGTATACAGTGGGCAGGTAAGGTGAGGGAGGAGAGGGAGGGGCAGTGCATAGGTAAGGTGAGGGAGGAGAGGGAGGGGCAGTGCATAGGTAAGGTGAGGGAGGAGAGGGAGGGGCAGTGCATAGGTAAGGTGAGGGAGGAGAGGGAGGGGCAGTGCATAGGTAAGGTGAGGGAGGAGAGGGAGGGGCAGTGCATAGGCGCCTAAAAAATAGCCCCCTCCAGCGAGCGCAACTACCGTGTGTGATGAGGCGATTTTTGAGTCGACTCCCTGCGCCACTCCCACTCATCACGCACAGCTACCGTTTCTTCGTCGCTTTCACCATCGCCACAAGTAGAAAGTAGATTTTTGAGACGTCTCAAAAACGCCACAACACTGCTCTGCCTTCTCTTTCCCTGCTCTTCTCCCAACACCACCCCCCCCCACACACCACCCTTCCCCCCTTACCAGCGCAACTACTGTGAGGCCCTCTGCCCTCACAGTCCGTCTCCCCTTATTCCTTTTCTCCCAACACCACGCCCCCCCACACACCACCCTTCTCCCCTTACCAGCGCAACTACCGGTTCTTTTACATGTTCACCACCACCACAACCCTTCTCTGCCTCTTCGTATTCGCCATCAGCACGCTCCTCATCGCCCTACTCGTGAATAACACTTACGAGCCGGGAGGGCAGCCTAGAACGCTGTGGGAGGCCATGGGGAAGGCACCAGTGGCGGTGATTCTGATGGTGTACACCTTTATAGTGGTGTGGTTCGTGGGGGGGCTTACGGCCTTTCACACCTTTCTCTCAGCCACCAACCAGGTGAGCATTGTGTGTTGAGACATCTCAGAGTCAATCAGGCAGAGGATGCTCCATGGGTAAGGGAAGGCGCTGGTGGCGGTGATTCTGATGGCGTACACCTTCATAGTGGTGTGGTTCGTGGGGGGACTCACTGCCTTTCACACGTTCCTGATGGCCACCAATCAGGTAAGCTCAGAGGTGTATTTTGAGGCGCCTCAAAATACTTCTGATGGCGTACACCTTCATAGTGGTGTGGTTCGTGGGGGGACTCACTGCCTTTCACACGTTCCTGATGGCCACCAATCAGGTAAGCTCAGAGGTGTATTTTGAGGCGCCTCAAAATACTTCTGATGGCGTACACCTTCATAGTGGTGTGGTTCGTGGGGGGACTCACTGCCTTTCACACGTTCCTGATGGCCACCAATCAGGTAAGCTCAGAGGTGTATTTTGAGGCGCCTCAAAATACTTCTGATGGCGTACACCTTCATAGTGGTGTGGTTCGTGGGGGGACTCACTGCCTTTCACACGTTCCTGATGGCCACCAATCAGGTAAGCTCAGAGGTGTATTTTGAGGCGCCTCAAAATACTTCTGATGGCGTACACCTTCATAGTGGTGTGGTTCGTGGGGGGACTCACTGCCTTTCACACGTTCCTGATGGCCACCAATCAGGTAAGCTCAGAGGTGTATTTTGAGGCGCCTCAAAATACTTCTGATGGCGTACACCTTCATAGTGGTGTGGTTCGTGGGGGGACTCACTGCCTTTCACACGTTCCTGATGGCCACCAATCAGGTAAGCTCAGAGGTGTATTTTGAGGCGCCTCAAAATACTTCTGATGGCGTACACCTTCATAGTGGTGTGGTTCGTGGGGGGACTCACTGCCTTTCACACGTTCCTGATGGCCACCAATCAGGTAAGCTCAGAGGTGTATTTTGAGGCGCCTCAAAATACTTCTGATGGCGTACACCTTCATAGTGGTGTGGTTCGTGGGGGGACTCACTGCCTTTCACACGTTCCTGATGGCCACCAATCAGGTAAGCTCAGAGGTGTATTTTGAGGCGCCTCAAAATACTTCTGATGGCGTACACCTTCATAGTGGTGTGGTTCGTGGGGGGACTCACTGCCTTTCACACGTTCCTGATGGCCACCAATCAGGTAAGCTCAGAGGTGTATTTTGAGGCGCCTCAAAATACTTCTGATGGCGTACACCTTCATAGTGGTGTGGTTCGTGGGGGGACTCACTGCCTTTCACACGTTCCTGATGGCCACCAATCAGATAAGCTCAGAGGTGTATTTTGAGGCGCCTCAAAATACTTCTGATGGCGTACACCTTCATAGTGGTGTGGTTCGTGGGGGGACTCACTGCCTTTCACACGTTCCTGATGGCCACCAATCAGGTAAGCTCAGAGGTGTATTTTGAGGCGCCTCAAAATACTTCTGATGGCGTACACCTTCATAGTGGTGTGGTTCGTGGGGGGACTCACTGCCTTTCACACGTTCCTGATGGCCACCAATCAGGTAAGCTCAGAGGTGTATTTTGAGGCGCCTCAAAATACTTCTGATGGCGTACACCTTCATAGTGGTGTGGTTCGTGGGGGGACTCACTGCCTTTCACACGTTCCTGATGGCCACCAATCAGGTAAGCTCAGAGGTGTATTTTGAGGCGCCTCAAAATACTTCTGATGGCGTACACCTTCATAGTGGTGTGGTTCGTGGGGGGACTCACTGCCTTTCACACGTTCCTGATGGCCACCAATCAGATAAGCTCAGAGGTGTATTTTGAGGCGCCTCAAAATACTTCTGATGGCGTACACCTTCATAGTGGTGTGGTTCGTGGGGGGACTCACTGCCTTTCACACGTTCCTGATGGCCACCAATCAGGTAAGCTCAGAGGTGTATTTTGAGGCGCCTCAAAATACTTCTGATGGCGTACACCTTCATAGTGGTGTGGTTCGTGGGGGGACTCACTGCCTTTCACACGTTCCTGATGGCCACCAATCAGGTAAGCTCAGAGGTGTATTTTGAGGCGCCTCAAAATACTTCTGATGGCGTACACCTTCATAGTGGTGTGGTTCGTGGGGGGACTCACTGCCTTTCACACGTTCCTGATGGCCACCAATCAGGTAAGCTCAGAGGTGTATTTTGAGGCGCCTCAAAATACTTCTGATGGCGTACACCTTCATAGTGGTGTGGTTCGTGGGGGGACTCACTGCCTTTCACACGTTCCTGATGGCCACCAATCAGGTAAGCTCAGAGGTGTATTTTGAGGCGCCTCAAAATACTTCTGATGGCGTACACCTTCATAGTGGTGTGGTTCGTGGGGGGACTCACTGCCTTTCACACGTTCCTGATGGCCACCAATCAGGTAAGCTCAGAGGTGTATTTTGAGGCGCCTCAAAATACTTCTGATGGCGTACACCTTCATAGTGGTGTGGTTCGTGGGGGGACTCACTGCCTTTCACACGTTCCTGATGGCCAGCAATCAGGTAAGCTCAGAGGTGTATTTTGAGGCGCCTCAAAATACTTCTGATGGCGTACACCTTCATAGTGGTGTGGTTCGTGGGGGGACTCACTGCCTTTCACACGTTCCTGATGGCCACCAATCAGATAAGCTCAGAGGTGTATTTTGAGGCGCCTCAAAATACTTCTGATGGCGTACACCTTCATAGTGGTGTGGTTCGTGGGGGGACTCACTGCCTTTCACACGTTCCTGATGGCCACCAATCAGGTAAGCTCAGAGGTGTATTTTGAGGCGCCTCAAAATACTTCTGCTGGCGTACACCTTCATAGTGGTGTGGTTCGTGGGGGGACTCACTGCCTTTCACACGTTCCTGATGGCCACCAATCAGGTAAGCTCAGAGGTGTATTTTGAGGCGCCTCAAAATACTTCTGATGGCGTACACCTTCATAGTGGTGTGGTTCGTGGGGGGACTCACTGCCTTTCACACGTTCCTGATGGCCACCAATCAGGTAAGCTCAGAGGTGTATTTTGAGGCGCCTCAAAATACTTCTGATGGCGTACACCTTCATAGTGGTGTGGTTCGTGGGGGGACTCACTGCCTTTCACACGTTCCTGATGGCCACCAATCAGGTAAGCTCAGAGGTGTATTTTGAGGCGCCTCAAAATACTTCTGATGGCGTACACCTTCATAGTGGTGTGGTTCGTGGGGGGACTCACTGCCTTTCACACGTTCCTGATGGCCACCAATCAGGTAAGCTCAGAGGTGTATTTTGAGGCGCCTCAAAATACTTCTGATGGCGTACACCTTCATAGTGGTGTGGTTCGTGGGGGGACTCACTGCCTTTCACACGTTCCTGATGGCCACCAATCAGGTAAGCTCAGAGGTGTATTTTGAGGCGCCTCAAAATACTTCTGATGGCGTACACCTTCATAGTGGTGTGGTTCGTGGGGGGACTCACTGCCTTTCACACGTTCCTGATGGCCAGCAATCAGGTAAGCTCAGAGGTGTATTTTGAGGCGCCTCAAAATACTTCTGATGGCGTACACCTTCATAGTGGTGTGGTTCGTGGGGGGACTCACTGCCTTTCACACGTTCCTGATGGCCACCAATCAGATAAGCTCAGAGGTGTATTTTGAGGCGCCTCAAAATACTTCTGATGGCGTACACCTTCATAGTGGTGTGGTTCGTGGGGGGACTCACTGCCTTTCACACGTTCCTGATGGCCACCAATCAGGTAAGCTCAGAGGTGTATTTTGAGGCGCCTCAAAATACTTCTGATGGCGTACACCTTCATAGTGGTGTGGTTCGTGGGGGGACTCACTGCCTTTCACACGTTCCTGATGGCCACCAATCAGGTAAGCTCAGAGGTGTATTTTGAGGCGCCTCAAAATACTTCTGATGGCGTACACCTTCATAGTGGTGTGGTTCGTGGGGGGACTCACTGCCTTTCACACGTTCCTGATGGCCACCAATCAGGTAAGCTCAGAGGTGTATTTTGAGGCGCCTCAAAATACTTCTGATGGCGTACACCTTCATAGTGGTGTGGTTCGTGGGGGGACTCACTGCCTTTCACACGTTCCTGATGGCCACCAATCAGGTAAGCTCAGAGGTGTATTTTGAGGCGCCTCAAAATACTTCTGATGGCGTACACCTTCATAGTGGTGTGGTTCGTGGGGGGACTCACTGCCTTTCACACGTTCCTGATGGCCACCAATCAGGTAAGCTCAGAGGTGTATTTTGAGGCGCCTCAAAATACTTCTGATGGCGTACACCTTCATAGTGGTGTGGTTCGTGGGGGGACTCACTGCCTTTCACACGTTCCTGATGGCCACCAATCAGGTAAGCTCAGAGGTGTATTTTGAGGCGCCTCAAAATACTTCTGATGGCGTACACCTTCATAGTGGTGTGGTTCGTGGGGGGACTCACTGCCTTTCACACGTTCCTGATGGCCAGCAATCAGGTAAGCTCAGAGGTGTATTTTGAGGCGCCTCAAAATACTTCTGATGGCGTACACCTTCATAGTGGTGTGGTTCGTGGGGGGACTCACTGCCTTTCACACGTTCCTGATGGCCACCAATCAGATAAGCTCAGAGGTGTATTTTGAGGCGCCTCAAAATACTTCTGATGGCGTACACCTTCATAGTGGTGTGGTTCGTGGGGGGACTCACTGCCTTTCACACGTTCCTGATGGCCACCAATCAGGTAAGCTCAGAGGTGTATTTTGAGGCGCCTCAAAATACTTCTGATGGCGTACACCTTCATAGTGGTGTGGTTCGTGGGGGGACTCACTGCCTTTCACACGTTCCTGATGGCCACCAATCAGGTAAGCTCAGAGGTGTATTTTGAGGCGCCTCAAAATACTTCTGATGGCGTACACCTTCATAGTGGTGTGGTTCGTGGGGGGACTCACTGCCTTTCACACGTTCCTGATGGCCACCAATCAGGTAAGCTCAGAGGTGTATTTTGAGGCGCCTCAAAATACTTCTGATGGCGTACACCTTCATAGTGGTGTGGTTCGTGGGGGGACTCACTGCCTTTCACACGTTCCTGATGGCCACCAATCAGGTAAGCTCAGAGG